GTGACGCATGCGGAAGCGGCCACTGGGGCCTTCGGTGGAGCACCCTATGGCGCCACGAAACGTGTAATGGGTGTGCCGAAATGGACGGGGGGACGCATGCGGACGCGGCCACTGGGGCCTTCGGTGGAGCTCCCCATGGGGCCACGAACCGTGTAAGGGGTGCGCCGAAATGGGCGGGGGGACGCACGCGGACGCGGCCAGTGGGGCCTTCGGTGGAGCTCCCTATGGGACCACGAACCGTTCCAGAGGTGTGCCGAAGTGAGCGGGGGGACGCATGTGGACGCGGTCATTGGGGCCTTCGGTGGAGCCCCTTGTGGTGCCACGAGCCGTGTGAGGGGTGTGCCGAAATGGGTGGGGGGACGCACGCGGACGCGGCCACTGGAGCCTTCGGTGGAGTTCACTATGGAAGCACGAAGCGTGTGAAGGGTGTGCCGAAATGGGCGTGGGGACGCATGCGGATGCGGCCACTGGGGCCTTCGGTGGAGCTCCCAATGGGCTACGAATCGTGTGAGGGGTGTGCCGGAATGGGCATGCGGTGGGCGGGGAGGGCGCACGCGGACGCGGCCACTGGGGCCTTCAGTGTGCCAGAATGGGCATGCGGTGGGCTGGGCTGACGCGTACGGACGTGGCACCTGTGGCCTTCGGTGGAGCTCCCCATGGGGCCACGAACCGTGTGGGGGTGTGCCAGAATGGACATGCGGTGGGCGGGGGGGGCGCATGCGGACGCGGCCATTGGGACTTTCTGTGGAGCTCCCTATGGGGCCACGAACCGTGTGAGGGGTGTGCCGAAATGGGCATGCGGTGGGGGGGCCTTCGGTGGAGCTCCCTATGGGGTCACGAAACGTGTGCGAGGTTTGCCGAACTGGGTGTCGATGATGGTGACGATAACGGCGATGATGATGATGATGATGATGATGATGATGATGATGATGATGATGATGATGATGATGATGATGATGATGATGATGGTGATGGCGATGATGGTGATGATGACGATGCTGACGATGACGACGACGACGACGACGAATATGACGACGATGATGACGATGATGATAATGATAACGATGGCGATGATGATGACAATGCTGATGCTGACGATGATTTTTCTGATGATGATGATGATGATGATGCTGATGATGATGATGATGCGAGGAGGAGGAGGGGGAGGGGGCAACGGGAGGATGAGGAGGAGGAGGAGGAGGAGGAAGGGTGAACGCGGGGACCGTCTCTTCAAAACAAGGACCCAACACCACAGGATTGTTGGGAATAAGCACAAGCAGACGACGAACATTAGTAATTCTATTACCATGCATTTGACTAACGATCATAACACCAACAATAACAATAACACTACGAATGCAAGTATACGGTTGACACTGACAAACAATCATAAGGAGACTGAGACGGAGTACTGAGACGAAGTAGAGTACACATACGAACAAGAAGACGAACAATACTACTAATATTCAAAATGCGAATGCTACTACTACTACTACTACTACTACTACTACTACTACTACTACTACTACTACTACTACTACTATTACTACTACTACTACTACCACCTACTACTACTACTACTACTACTATTACTACTACTACTACTACTACTACTACTACTACTACTACTACTACTACTACTACTACTACCACGAATACTACTACGAATATTACTACCAATCATCGGCATCGTAGTAATAATACTGATCGTAGTACTTGTAACACTAATTCTAGTTCTGGTACTGGTAAGAGTAAGAAAGAGAGGAGGAGGAGGAGTCTCTGCTTCCAGTCATGACGGCATGACTGTTTCACATATCCCATCTGACTAAACGTCCAGCTTGGCGGTGCAGGCGTGCGCTGGCAGGGCATGCTATCATGGGAGAATGCCAGAGCCATGCGAGAAACAGCGGGGACACGCTGACGCGCCGGCCCGGCGGGCGGGGGAGACCGAGGGGGGAAGGAAGGGCGAACAGCGCCACGTGGGGTGGGGGGGCGGCGAGAAGAGGGGGGGCAGAGCGGCATCACCTCCCGGGCAGGAGCGACAAAGGGCTCCAAGTTGAGAGCGACAACTGTTTCGTGCTCTCTCGGGCCTCGCCCCGCCACGCGCCGGCGTCTCAGTGCGTGCTCGCTCTTGGTGGTGCCGCTGATGCGATGTGTGCCTGACCACCATCTCAGGATTCTTTCTGCTATTGTGCTGCTCGGGGCCGTCCCGAACGCCTTTTCACGAGGACTGCTGTGGCATGGGGCTAGTTGCATCCGTGCTCGTAGCCCTGCTCGTGCTCCCATTCCTGCTTCTCCGTTGGCCCGCGCGCCCGACACGGCTGGCCCCGCGCCCTCCTCCCCGTGGCAGGGACGCCCCTGCTGCCCTGCCTTCCCTCGCCCATCGAGGTGGGTCAGAGCGTGCTGAGCCCATGGGCTGATCTGTCTCGGACAAGCAGTAAGCCGAAGCCGACTCTTGGTCCAGGGACCGACCTGCCTCCTCGTCGCGTCTGTCTCCAGGTCTCTGGCGTGGGGGAGGAGGGCAAGGAAGGAGGAGGGGAAGGCTGGGGGTGCTGTGGGGGGAAGGGGGGATGCGGGATGGGGATGGGGATGGGGGGGGGGAAGGGTGTCGGGAAAGGGGCGAGGGTAGATACTGAGATGTCTCGATCTTTGGGGACACCAGATGCCAACAGAGACTATCCTTAAGTCGGGAATCAATTAACCGACGGAAGAACCCCACATAAGAATCCTCTGGGCGAATCTGGAAAAAGCCATCACCGTCGTCCTCGTGGTTGGTGAGGCGTCCTGGCTGTCTCTTCTGCGTATATTTCCTCTCGCCTTGGCGCGGGCCCCCCTTCCACTCCTTACGTTGTCCCCATCCTCGCCCCCCTGTTTGTTCCGCGCCCCGCCACCTCCTCCCCTTCCTGTTGCATGAGCGCGCATGTCGATGTTCCTCGGCGCCGTCGCCGCCACGGCCAGCACAGGCGCGTTCTCTACTGGTCACGTCGCGCAGCCGTTGGGACAACCCCGCGGGCCAGGCTGTCGGGACAACCCCGCGAGCCGTTGGCGCGCAAGACCAAGCCGTTGGGACAACCCCGCGGGCTTCGAGCGAGGCGCAGCCGCGCTCAGGCGGAAGGCAGCACGAAGCCCAGCTCTGCCGCGAGCTGCTTCGCCTCCGCCCTGGACAAAACCGCTCTCTTGTCGAACTCCAGGAGCGCCTTCCGCAGGGACGCCGGCGGCCCGCACTCCAGGAACTCTCGCGGCGGCGGCCGCAGGATCAGCATGTTCCGCATGCACGTGGCGCGGGAGAACATGACGTAGAGGTGCAGCCACCACTGCTCGTCCGACATGCCCGTGCGGCCAGCGTCCTCGTCTCTCGCGCAGTCGATGGTGACGCCCTTGCGCAGCGTCTGGCCCTGCGACAGCGTGGAGGTCAGGTAGGACGCGTGCGTCAGGGTGAACCCCGAGCGGCGCACGCTGTGCGCCCCCGAGCTCTGCCATGTGAACTCCCTTTCGCTGGGCCTGAACATCAGCAAGCTCCGCGCCCGCGCCTCGATCTCCCGCCTGAGACTTCCTCCCAGTTCACTCACAGACGAGGCTCCCGCCTGAGACTTCCTCCATATTCAGGCTTGAGGAGCCCAAAAGTGACGACAGTTACAGGGTTCCGATGACCCGCTCGGATTACCAACATGATCTGCGGGCCCCATAGGGAGGGAGCTCCCGCCTGAGACTTCCTCCAATTCACTCACAGACGAGGCTCCCGCCTGAGACTTCCTCCAAATTCAGGCTTGACGAGCCCAAAAGTGACGACAGTTACAAGGTTCCGATGACCCGCTCGGATTACCAACATGATCTGCGGGCCCCATAGGGAGGGGGCTCCCGCCTGAACCTTCCTCAGAATTCACTCACAGACGAGGCTCCCGCCTGAGACTTCCTCCAAATTCAGGCTTGAGGAGCCCAAAAGTGACGACAGTTACAGGATTCCGATGACCCGCTCGGATTACCAACATGATCTGCGGGCCCCATAGGGAGGGAGCTCCCGCCTGAGACTTCCTCCCAATTCACTCACAGACGAGGCTCCCGCCTGAGACTTCCTCCATTTTCAGGCTTGATGACGACAGTTACAGGATCCGATGACCCGCTCGGATTACCAACATGATCTGCGGGCCCCATAGGGAGGGAGCTCCCGCCTGAGACTTCCCCCCAATTCACTCACAGACGAGGCTCCCGCCTGAGACTTCCTCCATTTTCAGGCCTGGGGAGCTCAAAAGTGACGACAGTTACAGGATTCCGATGACCCGCTCGGATTACCAACATGATCTGCGGGCCCCATAGGGAGGGGGCTCCCGCCTGAGACTTCCTCACAATTTACTCAACGATGATGAGGATGAGGATGATGAGTGGTGGTGAAGATGAGTGGTGGCGATGATGATGATGTTTGAATGAGGAAAATGTCGATGCCGATGATGATGATGATGATGATGATGATGATGATGATGATGATGATGATGATGATGTTCGTGAGCGTGTGAGAGAGTGCGAGTGATGGTGATGATGAGTATGTGAGTGACTAAGCATGTGAGAGAGCATCATCGATGATGCTGATGAGGTTGATGATGAGAGAGTGTGGGTGAGTGTGAGTGTGTGTGTGTGTGTGTGTGTTCCTGTTCCTGCGCGGGGTGTCCAGAGAAAACAAGAACCCCACTTTGGATGTGGGGAAATATTCAAACAATAGTCTGGGGACGATTTTCTAGTATTATTCACAATTGTTTGGGTATTCTTTAATTTGTTTTATTTTTCGGCCAAAATCTGCATGTAGGGGGACAGTCCCGACCTGAGACTATCCGTCATGAGTGGACGGTCTTGGTATTTGGCACCTCTTCCTCGCCCATTCGCGCAGGCCGCGGGCGAGGCCAGCCTTGCCGAGGGTTTGCGGACCAGCCCAGCCGACACGCCGTCACCGACTCTGTTGGCCGCTGCCCTAGACTCTCTCTCTCTCACTCTCGCCCGCTGCACGGTGCAGTGGGGGCCCATGCCAAGAACAACACCCTGCTTGCCTCCAGGGTGCTCCCTGGGTTTCTTGGGTTTCGATGGTCTTGCCATGGAGGGCGAGACGCTCCCACAGCCAAAAATCCATGGACGTCTTGGGGTCTCAGGTCGGCGTCACTCCAACATACTAATATTGAAATGGCCTCCGGCCAGTGCCACCGATCCGGGGCGCTCTGGATGATGACGATGATGATGATGCTGATGATGATGATGATGATGTTGATGATGATAATGATGCTGATGATGATGATGATGATGATGATGATGATGATGATGATGATGATGATGATGATGCTGATGATGATGATGATGATGATGATGCTGATGGTCGTGATGATGATGATGATGATGATGATGATGATGATGATGATGATGATGACGACGATGACCTTGTGTTCTCTTGTGGGCCTCTTGGAAGCCTTTTGGAGCCTCTTGGGAGCTTCTGGGAGGCTTATTGGAGCCTCGTGGGCGCCTCTATGCTGTTGGGGACGGAAGACTTGTCATGTTAGAAGACAGCTCTCGCTCGAGACATCCTCATAGGATAGAGATGTTGAAATGGCTTGCGGAACTTTCGGATCTTGGAAAATGACGCTCTTGCCTGAGACACATTCAAAATCCGGAGATGTTAGCTGTAGCACGACATCTTGTGGAGGCGCTCTTGGAGGACCTTGTGGGGCCTCTTGGGGGCGTCTTGGGGCCGTCTTGGGCCCTTCTTGGGCCGTCTTGGAGCCCTTTTGGGCGCCTCTTGGGCTTGTCGTGGAGCCCTCTTGCGCCGTCTTGGGGGCCTCCTGGGCCTGCGTAAGCCCTTCTTAGGCCGTTTTGGAGCCTTTTTGAGGGCCCCTTGAGCCGTTTTGGACACTGTGAAGGCCCAAGAGGCGAACATGCTAAAAATGTAGGGTTTCCTTGGGGGCCAGTTGGGGTCTTTTGGGGCCTCTTGGGGGCGTCTTGGGGCCTCTGGGGGCCTCCTGGGCCGTCTTGGGCCCTTCTTGGGCCGTCTTGGAGCCCTTTTGGGCGCATCTTGGGCCCCGTCTTGGGGGCCTCCTGGGCCTGCGTAAGCCCTTCTGAGGCCGTCTTGGAGCCTTTTTGAGGGCCCCTTGAGCCGTTTTGGACATTGTGAAGGCCCAAGAGGCGAACATGCTAAACATGTAGGGTTTCCTCAGGGGAAATCGATGATTGTGGCCGGTCGGGGCCCTTTTGGGAGACCTCTTGGGGGCCTCTGGGGGCGTCTTGGCGGCCTCTTGGGCTGTCTTGGGTTCATGTTCGGCGTCTTGGATCGATTTTTGGGCGATCCAGAAACGTCTTGGCCCGTCTTGGCGGCTTCTTGGCAACGTTTGGGTCCGTTGTGGCCAACCGAACCCCGACCAACCGAACCCAATCTGTGGAAGCCCCCCCCCCTACCCCGGCAGAGCCACCCCGGCCCACCCCCCCCCTTCAACTCACACGCCGGATCGGCGGATATGTGCGTTGCTGCACCAGGGGCGACGCGCGCACCGAGAAACCTTGTAGTACATGCGTCGTGGCGGGCGCTTTCTGGCCACACCGCTCGGCAAACGATATACTACAAGATGTGAATACTAAATGTTTGGGTCGGACGCGCGCCTCCAAGGAGGACACATAGTATCAGTATGTCTCTGTGCGTCCCAAAAAATCAATGGACGTCCTTGGGTCTCAGGGGTGGGTTTCCTGCGGAAGGTTTCTTGTGGACTGGCCTCCGCTGTGGACCTGCACTGAGGCCGCCTGCTGCCGCCTGTCGTGCGCCCCCCCCGTCGGTCACGCGCCAGGAGCGCCTCGGGGTCTCGCCCTCCTGGGCTTACGTCGGGCACGTCCCTCTACAGGAGGTTTGTTCAAAACTAGCAAAAATAGTCTGGGGATCTGGGGACGATTTGTTTCAAAATAGTTGTTGTCAATCTTTGCTTTTTTGGTGTACTTGTGATTGTTCGTCCAAAATCCCCCTGTAGGGGGTCATGCCCGACCTAATCCTGGGCTCTGGTGTCCGACGCCCCAACGAGAAGCAGGGCCGTGCGAGCGGCGCCCGCATGCCGCGGCGACATCGGCCCCGCACGTCCGATGTCGGCGTCTCCGTCCCTCGCTCTGCGAGCAGCGATTCAAGGTGTGGCGATACGGGCAGCAGTTAGGGGGACGAGAAGTGGCATAGAAAGCTCGGAGGTTCGCGTAACTTTCTCGGATCCGCGCTGGACCCCCCTGGCGGCGCCTCCGGCGCCGCCCCTGGCGCGCGGAGCGCGCCAGGGAGGGGGGTCCAGCGCGGATCCAAGAAATCAGCGCGGACCTCCGAGTTTTTATGTTTACACCACTTCTCGTTCCCTTAGCAATTCACGGGAGTGTTTGGCGCCGATTGGCAAACGGTCGCCTTGAGAGCGAGACGCGGGCCGACCTCAAATGTGAATAGTTGACAGGTCGTACAGCTTATGCCCAATTCTAGATTGATTCGTTTTTCCAACATATATTGTGACCAATCGCG